AGCAATCCAACACGTTCAGTCAGCCAGACTACTGGTTAAAGACGACACACTACACGAAACACTAGAATATACTTGTTTTTCTACCTTCACTGCATGACACAGTCAAATGGGCTTAAACTATGTAAAACCAAGCAGAAAAACTGGTTTCATATCATTATATATCTTTTTTTTTTCCTCTGAATTTGTGCAGCAGCTTGTGAGGCCTTGTTGAATCTATGGTAAAATTCAGACTACCTTCCAAATCCAATATAAGAGGAATTATTTCCCAAATTCCTGCATACAATGTAACCTGCTCATAACCTTTCTTCTCCAGCTTGAATTCATTTGAGGGCTCGGGCTAAGGATTCAAGAGTGAGGGACTGAGGATTTGGCATGGGCAGGTCTTGTATAAGGAGCTGGCTGCGAGCTCTTCAAGCTGTGAGAAAAGGGACAGTTTAAAGGTTTACAGATTCTGCAAACATTGCATAATTTTTCGATTGCATATTATCACATGGTGCGTGTCGGACTGGACGTTTCTTGTTGAAAAGTATTTTTCAACATGCAAAATTGGCTGTGTTATCAAATGGTGTGGTTTTAATGCCTTACTGATAATGCTGATCTACCTTTCTCTGGCTGATCCTCTTATCTGAAATCGCATCCTTTTATCTCTAGCTTACTAAGAGGTGAGTGATTGAGAATAAGAAGGAAGAAGACACCCTTAAGAGCCCTAGGGAGGACAAGTGTGTGTCTGTGTGTGTGTGCATACAAAGGGGGTAAGAATCACCTTGATTCAGTACACCGGCTGTCTTTGAAGTGTCTGGAGCCCAGTACGGCCAGCACAGAGCCAACCATAAGCCTTCCAGCAAAAATCGAGCCTGACCTCCCCACCAAATCATAACCATATGAACATAAGAATTTCCACCTTAGGAGAATGCTTTCTCCCCCGTCCATCTCCCAGGGTGAGGCATTAAGTTGTGATAACAGAAAACAGGTTCTGAGAGGGGGTGGGAGGGGGGCATTTGGAGGTGATGGAGGGTGGAGAGGAGGACAGGAGGACAGGAGGAAAATGGGGGTTACAAGTGTGCCGTATGGAGGAGAATGGAGAAGGGGATTGTGTCCAAAAAATGTTGTTGTGCACAGCCTGACTACCTAAAATGGAAGTTTCTCAGGCGAGGATCAAGAGATATGGTGACCTTCACAGTTGACAGAGTGAGAGACAGAAGACGGGAGGGGGAGTGGAGTGGGAGAAAGGCAAGAAAAAAAGGAGACAGAAATTTTGAAATGTGACTCTAACTCAGTAAATACCTTTCTAAACCACTATAGAGAAGCAGAGTGGTACCTTCACTGAGGCCTCAGGACCCACCTGCAACTGGAAATGGTTTCCTGCCTTACACAAACACTGTTGCACCCTAATCCATGTAATTACATCCCATATTCCACATGTGTAAGTACACATGTACAACATTACAGTTCTTTTTTTTTTTGTTTGTTTTCTCCCAAAAATCTACACCTAACTTCGATGTGAAGACTCACAGGGGAAGCAACATATTTACCAAGTGAGTAATAATAATAATAATAACAATAGAAAAAAATCGAAGATGTTTTACAGCATAATTCACATTAAACACATCCTCGTGCATGGACGTCTGCCACTGAAACAAAGCCCCATGTTGGAGAGCTTTTCGGGTGGATGAGTGTGATTTTGTGGCTGTATGTGTGTGCGATAGTTTGAATAAGCATTCCTCTGAGTGTGCGTGCAATTAGGGTAAGGCTGTTTGTGTGTGCGTGTGTGTGTGTGTGTGTGTGTGTGTGTGTGTGTGTGTGTG